GCCAGATTGGAGGCCACCTGGCTTAGACATGCGCTGAAAAAGAAAGAGACATCAGTAAGAGGTTAGAGTGGAAGGACAGGATAAAAAAATGTACCGTCCAGTATTGCCCAATGGTCTCGCAGGGCAGGGTAGATTGAAGTCCTCGTAGGTATCGGGTGACTTTGTGAGGGTTGGGTGCTCTCTTGAGTACTCAATGCTCACTAATGGGGCTAGTAGAGTATTATGGTTTATGTAAATACTATTATATTGCAAATATAAAGTATTTACAAAGGGTTCAGACTAGAAACAGAGAGAGAAGGGGAAGGGTAAAAATGAGACACTCCTTGTAGAAATTGAAGGATGGATCCTAGTCCTTCCTTTAATCTTCAGGTTGACAGATTAAAGAGTGATTTAAGGTTTACTAGACCAGTTGTTCTATGGTCACTAACCCTGGGTTGTTCTTATGGTCACCAACCTTGGGTTATTCTATGGTCACCAACCTGGGTTGTTATATGGTCACCAACCTTGGGTTGTTATATGGTCACCAACCTAAGATAGTTCTAATTGGGGAAAGTAGAGGACCCTGGGAAAGGTGAAGGATATTACCTACTTTTAATCAGGGAACAGATTAAAGTAGTGAAGTTATCACTAGTCTTATATTTATAAGACTCTTGATTATTACTTCAGTAGAACTGTTAATTGTTCTTAAAAGTATTGTGTAATAAAAGCTTGGGGGAAATCTCTCAAGGCTGAGAGAGGAGGGGTTTATATACTCTCCTCTCCAAACCTAACTGTAGTGAGATTTGTTTACCTCCCTACTTTGGTTTAGGGTTTGATTATTATTATTATTTGGGATTATTACTAATAATACTTAATTACATATACATGTTATGTGTAATATGTAATATAAGCTTTTTCAACTCTTGACACTGAGTTATGAGGTGTAATTGATATTTGCTTACATATTACATATCATTTCAAATGTATATGTATATGTAATTAAGATGTATATATGATTTATTACAAGTTACATATGTTTTGTAAGCTTTATGTACATGTAATTAGTTGTCTGAAGGTGGTTATATGTATTACAAGTTAGTCTTTGGGTACATACATATGTACCCAGGGCTGACAGACTTCGTCCATCTCGTAACTGTTGGACAATGTGGAAACAGTCAACGAGGTCCCCAACTTGGAGTAGACCTGCGCAAGCTTCTTGTTTACAGGGTGCTTCAAAGTAGCAGGAGCAGGTGTGGGAGAGACTTCGCCACATTCAGTTGGGCTGGGCTTCCAGTGGCCGTATTCTTCTCAAAGGAGGCGCTTGGCACGGCCTTGAAGCTCCTCACGGGTTTGAAAGATATCTTTGAATCTGAATGGCTCGAGAAGGGCGGAAATCAAGGTCTGCTGGTTGAGCTCTTTGCGGTCCAAATACTTGACCAGTTTATCTTCAGCGCGTTTGCAAGCCTGACCCCAAACTCCAGGAACCACCTGATGCCGCTTCAAAACTTTTTGAATAGCCCAAAGTACCGGTAGAACTAGATGCTTTGTTGGGTTGTTGGACTGAAAAACCTGAGTCGAGGTTTCAAACCACTCAAGAATAGGCACCATATACTTGATAGTGGCCCAGTCGGCTTCCAAAATTGCCAGTTTGCTTCGTTTGGGGTCAGCAGTGTAAGCTTCTAGAGATTTCCTGAGCACTAGTGATCATTTGCACTGCCATTACAGTGGACAATTGGGTCAATGATTTTGGAAAATGGTTGCAAAAGAAAAAACAAGTTACTTACTACATAATAAAAACAATTCCATCGAGTGGGAGGGCAGCTCAGAGGAAGAAGTTGGGGATCTCCAACGCTGTTACGGATCTTGCCAAATGCTTCAAGCTCTTGTGGGCTCTTGCAGATATGAGTATCCAACGCACGGATTTGGCTGACAACAGTGGACTTCTTTTTTTGAGCGGAGTTTGCAGCAGTGGGTGATTCTTCCTCAGGAAAGCTTCCTTCATAAGAGGGTTGAGATAAATCATTGAAGTCTTGACTCGGACCGTGGACTTGAAGTGATGCTTGGTCAAGGTTGAAATTGGCGTCAGAGAAGATTCACCTTGTTCTTCCTTGTTGGTACAAGGGAGTTTGTCAGGGTCAAAGGTTGACCGTGGTTCTGCCATTCCACTGGTTTCAAAAGCAGCAAGATCCGCATCCGACAACTCTCCCATACCGTCCAGAAAGTCCTTAGCCACCAGGTTAATGATGTGACACATGCAACCGTGAAACCTAGAATTGAATGGCCACTTGATTCCGATCCTTGAGTATTGCTCGCTCAAGATTTTCGCCATTGCTTGGTTTGAAGATGCATTATCACCGGTCCCAGAGAAGTGATCACGTAAGGCACCAACATGGTTGAGGGTGTCCCAGTAGACTTGTGCCAGATTTTGCCTGTGTGTTCCCTTCC